TTACATCATCACAGAAAGTTCTACTGGACAGCTGCTAGAACTTTCACATCCACATTAAATAATAATGGTGAAACGGGTTGTCCTGCTTTTTTCTTCCCAACTATAAATACCTCTACATAGTGATTTACTATGAAATGATGATGAGTTTTGAATTCAAATATCTAGATATATTTTTTTTATTATGCTGAAGAAGTTTGACCCTATTCCTAGTTTTGTAAAACCACATATTTTTAAATTTTGGAATGGATAATGAATTTTCATATCTTCTTGGCATGAAAAAGTTTTTCTCTGTGAGAGACAAATTCCCACTCATCCTTCAAAATTGTCTTACCGATTCTGGTTCTTCTTAGATACATCATTGGATTTTGTCAGTATTTTATTAGATGTTTGTCATTAACAAGCTTGATCCTCAAATATTCTCTACCTCTAGTGTCTTTGTCCAATTTTTAAAAAATGAAGATTATATAATTATTATAAAATGGGTTAAGATGCTTTTTCTCTATTTTTTGTATGTTTTAGATATGGGTCGTCTGTCCCTTAAAGTCTTGTAGAACTTGGGTAAAACAAATCTGGCTTCAGTGCTTTGGCTGGATTTTCTTGTCTCTCTCTTCCAGTTCACGCATTTCATCTTCACCTGTGTCTAATCACACCGCTAAATCCATACATTAAGTTGTATTACAGTGAATACATTTTTTCAGCTCTATATTTATACTAGGTTCTTTGCAGTTCTGCCTTTGTTGAACATTCTTCCCCTTTGGTCTAAGCAATCGCTTTACATACTTCAAATGTGTTTATTTATATTCTCTTTCAAATTGTTCTCCAGTCCCTTTTTCTTGCCTGTTCTCTTGTTTCTTCCATCCAACTTCATATGTTTGCATTTGGTGCTGTGAGCCCTACCTCAGAGGGGGTTGTTGGCTGCAGGAGTGCTGGAGGTTGGACTAGCTGTGCATTGCCACGGCCAGGGACACAGGGATCAGAATGATCATGGACACATTTTGGGGTTTGTGCCCTGACTTGGTGTTTCCGTACCATGTGAGTAGTATAATATCTTACCTTTATTCCTCTGCTTATTTGAGTCACTGAGAAACTTTTCCAGTCTTAGTTAACGTACAGTACAGCCCCTTAGAGCTGGATTTCTGCAGGGGCGCTCTGCTCTTGCCCACTGCCTTGCACAGGCTGATGTTCTATGTCTGCATCAGCATTGGGATCACAGCCTTCAGACCACTGGGACTGGACCTTCCATGGCTTTGCTTCCTGCTTAGATTTTGCATTCCCTTCTTTTTGTTTCCTATACCTGAGGGTTTCTTTCTTTTGAGCAGGGCCATACATTACGATTTTTAAAATCATATTTCATCCAGAATTTCTGGATCTATTATATTAAAAAAATTTAATGTTTATTTTTGAGACAGAGAGAAACAGAGCATGAGTGGGGAGGGGCAGAGAGAGAGGGAGACACAGAGTCGGAAGCAGGCTCCAGGCTCTGAGCTGTCAGCACAGAACCTGACATGGGGCTCGAACCCATGAACCACGAGATCATGACCTGAGCTGAAGTTGGAAGCTTAACCGACTGAGCCACCCAGGCGCCCCTGGATCTATTATATTGAATGCAAGTCCAGAAATTGTTTTAGATTTCTCAGTGGTTGATTTATTTATTTTATTTTTAAGCAAAAGCAAGGAAAGTGGGAGAGAAGTAGCTATTAACCTATGATTTTTATTTTCTGGTTATGTTTATCATCAAAGACCATATTTAAATAACTTCTACTTTTTGGCATTACTATGTTGGCATTTTATTTGTGTCAGTGCCATAAATGTTTAAGGATATTCATAGCCATTTAAAAACATATCTATATATCTTCTCTCTATCTTTAATTTTTTATTATTCATTCAAAGACTTGCAAAGTCATGTTAGCATCTCCCACTATAAATATAATTTTTCAGTTTGTTCTTTTCTGTTTAACAGTTTGGCTTCATATAATCTGCTCTTGTGTTATTTGTGGAGGACTCCAGGGCCTGAATCATGTTTGAATTGGCTGGAGTCACAACATCCCTAGCTTCATTACTGAGCCATCAATTAATCTTTTTCTGATCAATGATGGCATTGTGTCCTCTTTCTGTTACAAAAGGTAATGCAGCATTTAGGAAAAAATCTTGAAAGAGGAAATGCATACTGTAAAAATGAAAATGGGTAACATCTTAAAACTTGGGATAGAGAGATAGGAAAGGAGAATGGGAAAAGTGAAGGGGTCTAAATTGGTTTCATTTCACAGAGGTGACTCAACAGAGACTGTTACATTCATAAGGTTGAGAGAAGAATGTAGATTTGACTATGTTGTATTTTAAAATTTATTTATCTTTTCTGTCCACTGTAGTTTCTTGTTCATATTCTTTACTGAATGGACATGAGCAGGTGAACTAATATATGAAGGACAATTTTTTTTTTTTTTTAATTCTAACATTTTCCCTTTGGAATGCTTTCTAAAAACATTTTTATGTTTATTTATTTTTGAGAGAGAGAAAGAGAGACAGAGACAGAACATGAGTGGGGGAGGGGCAGAGAGAGAGGGAGACACAGAATCTGAAACAGGCTCCAGGCTCTGAGCGGTCAGCACAGAGCCCGACGCGGGGCTTCAACCCACAAGCTGTGAGATCGTGACCTGAGCCGAAGTCAGTCGCTCAACTGACTGAACCATCCAGGCGCCCCCTCCCCCTTGGAATGTTTCTAATAATCACATGTTTGAGCTTGGGAATGTTGCTTGTGGGATGAAATATGGTTGAGTCACTGCCTTCCTCTGCTCCAAACTGGTAGCACTGTGCAGCAAGCACAATTAGGCTTGCGGCCTCAGCCACATCCCTACTGCTATGGCCTTTATTTGTTTTGAATATGAATGAGATGGAAAGCCTGTGCAGGTGTTTACAAGGATATATTAGAAAAGGAAGGGAAGAAGGGGAAAGAGAATGAGCTGGGTTTCCCAAGAAGGAAAATTTCCTGGACAAGCTGGAAAAACAGGCCTTCAGAATGTCACTCTACAAATCCAAAGTAAATTTGCATTTCACGTTATGCTAACGTAGCATCTCTGTCTAACCTTTCAGGCAACAGCAACACTACACCCCATTTCCATCTATCTTATAGAAGGGCTGGGTCTGAAGGCTCACTTGTGTGTGAAACCTTCTTTGAAGGCTTGATGTCTTGGAGGTTAACCCTCAAGAGTTTCTGATCTTAGTTAGATTTGAGATTTTGGCTAAGAAGAAAGGGAATGTGTACTTGAGCAACATCACAGTTGAAAGGGGAGAAAAAGGAAGAACTCAGTAGAGAGCACACATTTAACTTTCACACTATGGCTATTCAGGGACTTTTCAAAATGTTTTCAAATAGCATGTACTTTTTAGATATGTGAGAGAATTTCAAGGCAAGTATCAAGAAAACTAACTGAATGTTTCAAATGTTTGGAACTATTCCAAGGCCAGGAATTCCAGATGTTTGTAAGGAAGCCATTGCCTATCTCCGTTTAAATATTTAAGTGGGTTTTAAGATGTTAAGGAGGAAAAAAAAAAACATATCCCTCAATTCTTCCTTTTTATTTTGATTATTATTATTTTTTATTTTATAGAGAGAGCATGACCAGGGGAGAAGGGCAAAGGGGGGGAGGAGAGAGAGAGAGAGAGAGAGAGAGAGAGAGAGAGAGAGAGAGAGAATCTTTTTTTTTTTAACGTTTATTTATTTTTGAGACAGAGAGAGACAGAGCATGAATGGGGGAGGGTCAGAGAGAGGGAAACACAGAATCTGAAACAGGCTCCAGGCTCTGAGCTGTCAGCACAGAGCCCGACGCAGGGCTCGAACTCACGGACCATGAGATCATGACCTGAGCCGAAGTCGACCGCTTAACCGACTGAGCCACCCAGGCGCCCCGAGAGAGAGAGAGAGAGAGAGAGAGAGAGAGAGAGAGAGAGAATCTTAAGCAGGCTCCAGGCTCACTGTGGAACCTGACGTGGGGCTTGATCTCACCACCCTGGGATCATGACCTGAGCCAAAATCAAGAGGTGGATGCTCAAGGTCAAGCCAAAATCAAGAGGTGGACTGAGCCACCCAGGCACCCCCAATTCTTCCTTTTTAAAAGCAGAATAGCACCTGCGCTATAAGGCTATCAGGTCGACACTAGAGCCACTGCTGAGTCAGTAAACATGTGTCTGTCCATACTCCTTGATCTTTCTACCTCTTAGAGCTATTGTGGCAAAAAGATGCGAAGCATTTAAAAGGACATAGCATTATACAAAATGCAGTGTATTATTACCATTTATCACTGTAGATACTGAATCAATAATTATCTGTGTGATGGATGCCAGATGTGAATAATAACCAGGGCTCCTGGCCATCTGTCCCCTCCATAACCAGACGTCCCCACCTCTCCTGGACAGCTACATGAATCACACATGTCTTTAAATTAAGAACTTGCCTGCTACAAATGTCTTGTAACAGTGCCAGTGTTATGATAATTCATTGTTCGCATGAAATGCCCTTAGTTTTACTTCCGTATTCCTGTATTTCATGTCAGGTATTCACCATGATGAGAGTTTCTTGGCTACTCCAGGCAAGAACCATCCAGATTGGAAAGACTTCCAGAATCTACACATGCAAGCCTAACAGTTTGGCTTTTTGGTTTATTCAGAATTAATGAATTTAGACCATCTATTTTTCACTCTTGACAGCACCTAGTACTTTGTTCAGGAACACCAAGCTTCCCAAGCTCTAAGCAAGCAGCACTGGCATGGCCACCAAAGAGGGAGTAGCTTAGCACAGATGTCGGTGGACTGAGAGACAAGTGCCCTGCTGCCTTTCCTGATGGGACACCTTAGGGGCTACCTCTGCCTTTGCGGGACGCCTCTCTGGCGGGGAAGGCCCTTCTCTGTGCGGTCCCCTGTGGGAGGCCGTGCTGACAGATGGAGAGCTGGGAAACCCTTCCCCGAAGCCGGCTGAAGAAACCCACAAGTCTGCGAGAACTTACTGAGCGTGACTGACTCGTTGATCTTGAAGCTGCAGAGGACCCTGTCCACGTTTCGGGCATGCCGGAAGCCGTTTCCTCTCACGACCACTTGGAATGATTCTGAAAGGAGGAAGGACGAGCCATGTCATCTGACTGCAGACCGTTAACCTTAAGTTTGCCATCTGCCCTGATGCAGGGCATTTGTTAACTGGTTCACCAGGCTTAAAATATTAGGAAGTTGGTTCAGGTTGGAAACCTAAAGCAGCCACGAGGGTGCCTTTTTACCACTTGCTTACCACATCTGTCTCGCCAGGTGCACATGGGGAAGGTGTATGATTTCTTGCTTTAAATTCCTGCCTTCTACGGGGCGCCTGGGTGGCGCAGTCGGTTAAGCGTCCGACTTCAGCCAGGTCACGATCTCGCGGTTCGTGAGTTCGAGCCCCGCGTCGGGCTCTGGGCTGACTGCTCGGAGCCTGGAGCCTGTTTCCGATTCTGTGTCTCCCTCCCTCTCTGCCCCTCCCCCATTCATGCTCTGTCTCTCTCTGTCCCAAAAATAAATAAACGTTGAAAAAAAAAATAAAAAAAAAAAAATTCCTGCCTTCTTGCCTTTGCCTTCTTCCTCCTACTGGAATGCCCTCCTCCCCGCTTCTCTGTCCCTTCAAATCATACCTATCTCTCAAGTCCTAGCAGCTTAAGAAACTGTGATCTCTGCAGCTGGGGTGGGGGCACAGAGGAGGGGGCCCTCCACCTCTCTTCCAATCAACTCAGCATTTCTTGTGTCTGTTTTACATACTGGATTCCCTTGAAAGGCTTTCTTTAGAGCCCAAGGTGCCTCAAATTTTTTGAAAATCACTGCCTTATGGCATTCACGGTCCGTTCTGAACGATGTGGCAGGTGATTATGTAACTGTCAGGTAGTGTCTTTTCTTCCACAACTAACAAAATGGTACATTAGGTCAGGAATTATTTGATGCTGCTTCAGGTCCTCCTGTCTCTACTGGGCACACCTAGGATTATGTAGGAATAGTTATACTTAGCGACCAATTAGAATCTTGCTTATCTAGTGGTCATTGTCCAGCCTTATCTGCTTGAACTGACTTTGGCCCTTCAATGTAGTGCTTGCTTTTCTCTATATAGAAAGAATATATTTTGCAGGTCTCTGGCCCTGCCTATCAATTTCACATTGGCATAATGCATGTAGAACTCATGTAGGTTGAGAAAATTCTTATGAAGTAAAAATCATGATCCTTTATGATAGTCTTACAAAAAGAAAAAAACAGCTAATTTGTTAACTAAATATTTAGAAATATTTGCATAAGTTTGATAGTAACTAATAGTCCATGCTCTTCTTTCTTTCTTTCTTTGTTTCTTCCTTCCTTCCTTCCTTCCTTTCTTTCTTTTTTTTTCATTCTTTTGTGTATAAAAATTGGGGCTTAGGGGGTGCCTGGGTGGCTCAGTCAGTTAAGCATACGAGTCTTGGTTTCGGCTCAGGTCACGATCTCACAGGTTTGTGGGTTCAAGCCCCGCATTGGGCTCTGAGCTGACAGCACAGAGCCTCCTTGGGATTCTCTCTCTGCCCCTCCCCTGCTCGCTTTCTGTCTGTCTCTCAAAATAAATAAACTTTAAAAATGTGTGATATATGAAAAAGAAATAGACTAAAAGTCAGAGGAAAATGCAATATTTGTGAAAGTGGATCTTGAACGGTAAATTGCTATACAAAATGGACATTTTTGTTGGAGGAAGAAGGGGGTTAGAGAACTAGCATAGGGATCACTCCCAGACTTAATAAATGTCATGAGTGAAAGTCCCCTTCATTCCCAGGAGGCTAATATAAAGATCGTGTTTGCCAAGATAATAATACTGGATGCTAATCGCACCCTCACTGTGTGCCAAGCCCTGTGATAAGCCTTGTATATGTCCAATGTCATTTCAGCCTCACCACAGCCCAGAGAGGTACAAATGAGAAAACTGATCTTAGTGAGGTTAAGTAGTTGGTCCCACATCACAGGCTAGCAGCTGTCAGGGGTGAGCCGGAATCCCGGTGTGTCAGGCAGGCATCAAATGCCATCCCCCCAGGACTCAGCCATTAGACTGAAAAGGATCTTCAGTGTCTTGTGACCTATGATCAGCTTCGAGACTGAAGTTGTGATTTTTAAAAAGTTTGTTTTATTTTCGTTTTAGACGGGTGTGCTGTTTTGCAGAAAAGTGGGGCTGGCCTGGATAGGGAGGCAAGAAATTAAAACCCAAGCAAGAGAACCCAGAGGCACCACATGGCCACAAAGAGTACAAGTTAGAACAGAATGCTTTGTAGAAGTAAAAAGGACCTTAATGATAAGAAAATTGAGATTCTGACATTTTAAATGACTTGCCCAAGGTCGTGTGATTTGTAAGCAGCAAAACTGGAACTCTATCCAAGTGTTCACTGCTTTAGTATTGAACTATGGTAATTAAGGTCATGGGCAAATGGTTTTTCAGGACCACAAGTCCTGTGAATACTAAGAATTTACATATGCATCTTTGTGCAATTGCTAAGTTTAGAAGGATGAACTTGATTTTCTCTAGATGTCTGCCGGGCATGTGACTGATGACGCAGTTACTTCAACGAGCATTCTATTAAGTGTCAAACATTGTGGAAGAATCTCATTGTATCTCCTTTACTCATTTAAGCCTATAGAAACCTATTCCTGTTTTTTATTTTGAACGTTAGACATCCAGGAATCCTCAGTTGGACACTTTTGCTGATGCAAAATGTTTTCGGCCTCACTGCTGTGCTACTTCTCTTGTTTCCTCAAACATCAGTGGGAGACAAGACTCTGGAAATGCAGGCCACATGCCAAGCTCTCTTCTCTAACACGATGTTCTAGCATTACCAGTTCAGCTGCTGAGTCCTCTATAAAAAAGGCTGCCCACATGTCTGCTTGGCCTGACCTCAGGGTGTTTAGAAAGAAAGACAGCCACGATCCATGACGTGGCGATGGTGGAAAGCGAACAACTTAACCCCCTCGGCCCGGGGAGAAGATGGAGGAAATGATGCTCTGGGAACCACACCAGAGCAGAGGCATGCTGCCACCCTGCCGGGTATGGTTTCTGTGTTCGTGCGCACATTTGGTTTCCAGAAGGGCCCAAACATCTGCCCCTGCAGCCTGACTGGAATGTCAGCTCTTCACACATGCAAGTTATGTAACAAAACGCTGTCTCGCGAATCTGCCAGTAAGTGAGAACCGGGACAGATGATTTAAGTTCATTTATCCAGAGAGCCCCGAACCCACCTTTCACAATATGTACAGCCAAGTGTTTTTAGGCAATTTGCCTGTTGGGTAACTGGTCCTATAAGAAGTGCCTAGGGATTGTAGGGCTTTAGGAAGGAATTTCTACTTGGAAATGATCTTTAATCTCATCTTTTAAGATATATATTCTTTAAGATATATGTTTATTATGATTCTTTCTTCACTTCATTCTCAATTATAATTTAAACTTCCTGAGAGTAGAGGCCATCATTCCTATTTCTTTAAAATTTTTGACTGTGCCTAATCCAGGGCTGAGCCAGTCTCAGTATTGAAAGAATAAATAAATGACACATCTTGGTACAGGAAGGGAATAAATAGGAAGGAAAAGATGGTCATTTATTCATGTACAGTCAGGTCTAATCCTGTTTGTTTTCTGAGGCTTAATAAGGTCAATGAATGAAGAGATGCTTGACACTATTAGTCATTAGGGAAATGCAGATCAAAGTCACAATGAGATATCACTCCATACTCACTACAATGGCTGTGATAAGAAGGATGGACAAAAACAAGCATTGGTGAGTGAATCAGAACGCTTCTACCTTGCTGTTGGGAATGCGAAATGGGGCACCTGCTCTGTGAAATAGTGTGGTGGCTCCTCAAAAAGGTAAACATAGAATTATCTTATGACCTAGAAATTTCACTCCTAGGTATGTACTCAAGAGAACTGAAAGTGCATGTCTACACAAAAACTTGTACATGTATGTGCATAATGGCATTATTCATAATAGCAAAAAAGCAAAAACAATTCAAATGTTCATCAACTGATGCAGATGGTATTCATACAATGGAATATTATTCACCCATAAAAGGAATGAAGTTCTGACACATGCCATGACATGGATGAATCTTGAAAACATTATGCCAAATGAAAGAAGCCAGACGTCAAAGTCCACATAATGCATGATTCCATTCCATTTCATTTCCATATGAAAAGTTCAGCAAATCCATAGAGACAGAAACTCAACTGGCAGATGCCAGGGCTGGAGGGAAGGGAAATGGGGAGTGAGTGCTTAATGGGTATAGGGTTTCTTTTTGGGGTGATGAAAATATTCTGGAATTAGATGGTGGTTATGGTTGTACAACTTCGTGTATATAACAAAAACCACTGGATTGCACTTTTTGAAAGGGTGAATTTTATAGTATGTGAATTATAGCTCAATTAAAAAAAATAAAAAATAAAGTCCATGAATAGTTGGATAAACTTAATTTATTCTGTTCCCTCCCTTTGTTTCTTTTCCTTTCCTTTCCTTCCCTTCCCTTCCCTTCCCTTCCCTTCCCTTCCCTTCCCTTCCCTTTCTTTTCTTTTCTTTCTTTTTGAAATGTGGAACACATAGTTTTGCGATGATCTCAGTAAAGATCACTTATTATTCACTATATTGAAAATGAGACATCTTTATATTCTCCATTTGCTCTGGTTGCCTAAGACTTGTGCAAAATTATTGCTACTGATATTTCACCTTGTGAGTTAGTCTGAATTTTCTTTCCTATTAGATGCTTAATGTGACATGAAACATAAATATAATAGAGACTGGTGTGTATTAAGTACCTTCTGATGTCTTAATTATTCTAGAACTTTCTGATTTTATAGCTATTTAATTATAAAAGCTTTAGTGTGGTATAATTGACATAAGTAACTTGCATATAAAGTATATTACTTGACAAATTTTGACATATGTATATAGTCATGGGACGATACAACAATCAAGACACTGAACACATCCATCACTCTCAAAAGTTTTCAAGTGCTTCTTCGTAAGATCTCCCTCCTGCCCCTCCCCATGACCATGCAACCACTGATCCCCTCTCTGTTGTTGTAGATTAGCTTGCAGTTTCT